GTGACTTTAAATAAATATGAACTGGACTATGGTTCAGTTGCTAAGAAAAATTCGAAACATGCGAAATTTGGGCAAAATTTTATCTGAGGACGTCACATTGTGATAGCAAAACCGATGCTATAGAACCGAACTTGCATGACTTAGTCGAGGCTATACTTGAAGTTTTTAAAAATGCATTCTTTAAAAAACAGCTTTTGGGGCTTTCTCTAATTTTTTTTGTTGTTTTCTGGCGTGTAATCCAAAATAACTATCAAACTTTAAATATTTGATTGATTGAAGTTAAAAATATCAAAGCCTTCGTGGGAGACGGTGTGCGGGTCAGCCTGTCTTGGTGCTGCGCTGTTATTATTGAGAGCAAGGACGTTTTAATGAAGACGGGCCTGCATGCGATTTATCTCTACATTTTTGGGACTAGACATATCCATACCAAGAGCATATATTGATCATGCAGCGGATATCGAGGCCACGAAACCCCTAGAGTGTTTTAGGCGATGTCTCAACATTCGGCAATATATACAAGTTTGGGAGACATTTTAGACATTATAATTGTCATATCAAGCTGTAAAGACGCTTTCTAAATGCAGCTAGTACACATGCAAGAAGCGTCTGACTGATGAAGCTTAGCTCGTAATCATCTCACGGGGCTGCTAAGACAATTTAGGTACCTTTCGGCTTAGCATGTAGGATGGCGACGCGCTCGACGACGTCGTTGTGCACAAGACTCGAGAACCTGAAATTTGTGATAGGCAGAACGTTGACCACGTCTAAAATTGCTATTCGTATTTTATCAATGAACTCATCGTATATCGTTTACCGCCGTCTTCGTTTTCCCGTCTTATACATCCGTGGAACATATAATTGCGGACAGTTCATTGCATGATTTATGGTATGATGGCGTACAAATTCTGCACTGATATTGTTCATAACCGTCTTAGATTATAGGCGCAGCGAAACAATTACATTTCATCTCGAATACCGTTGGAATTTTTACTTATAATTTTATACTTAGTAATATCTAAGAACCTCAAGAGGGGACTTAACGGAAAGTCGGAAACCCATTTGATTGAGATGTATAGAAATTCCAGAGAGAATAAATTAGATAATCAATTGATGACTTTTGTGATGAGAGACGTTTTATGTTTGTTAAGTTCTGCCAAGACCGTTTTTCGCTTGTAAACTCCTATCGTCTATGGCTCATTTCTGTACAGTAGCGAACCGTACAACATACTCTTTTGTTTCAAAGAAATTGGATTTAGCCCAGTTCACAGGACTGATGCTACACGCTTCGTTTAAAGTGGAAAACAGCTAGAACACTCTCTAACTTTATATTGTATAAACGGTGACGTCTCCCCCCGTCATGGTTAAAACTTCTTCCTGTTAAAGTCCAAACCAGACGGGCATACTCATTATGCAGATACAATAGTATTTCAATGTGCCTAGTTAAATGTGGCTGTTGTCGATTCTGTTGTTTTTAAATGGTGAAACGAAAAAATTCGGTAGAGCAAGAGCATTCATGATTAATTCACCAACCCTGTATTTTTTTTTATGCATGCCTGACCTTTGCTCCATATAAGATTTTTCGATTTTGTTACGAACGTAAGCAGGGACGTCAATGCGTTATGCCCATATGTTCTTCACGCATTTAATCACTCGACAGTCACAATGAGAGTTTACTGGCGTAAAATTGGATTACAACGTACTCATGCAACTGCTGATTGCGGCTTTTTGTAAATAAACTAATGCAACTGCTGATTTGCTGCTTCATCGTAAATGACTAGGGACACTAGTACTGAGTAGCTTTCGCAAAAATTTCAGCCGATCCGTTAGTTAATTTTAAAAGCTGTTTTTACGCGTCAACACTCGTATCTTGAGCTTATTCGTAACTAACAATGCAATTCACTTTCAGGGCCACCCTTGCTTTAAATAAAATCGATAAATTTATCAGTGCGTGTATTATACCATTACGATAAAATTTGTTGTATTAGAGTCACTGATGAGTCAATTACTAATGCATGACATGAACGTGATGGGCGGGTGCGGTCCATTTATTTCAGCAATCCGTTAGCTTTTCTTCCACTTGACTCGTTATATCACGCTGCAACTGAAAGAGTAATTAGATAAGATTGATGCTCTTCGAGGAAAGATGCATTTTTAATTAATTTATGTTGTGTGCCTCAATCATGTCCCCTGTGTATGGTGGATATAAAAATAAACGCTTCAATCGATCAACAGTTGTGTTTACAGCAAGCAATGGAATTCAAACTAGATTTTTCCCGAGATTAGCGATGTTTTTAATATTTCATACACTTGTGACAAAATTGTTTTTCGTATGTACACTCAAAGAACCCCGCTGGCGAAAGATAATGACATGCAGAGACAGGCAATATAGGATGGCCAATAGCTCATTCCAGAAAGGCAACATTCCCTGGTATGATAATGTGCAGTTCTGCAACTCATTTAATTAATCAATTAATAAGATTGTTGAAAACTAGTTCATCATGCTATTCATGTCTTGAGTATAGTCAACACTATAGGCTAGTCAGAATCGATGCAGGCAAAACATTATCGCATTGCCTCAGGAGGGATTTAACTTATTTATCTAAACAAGACAACGCTGTCTAATGCAGGTTAAAGAGTGCAGCATGTAGATAGTCTAATTAAATCTAAAGGCCCAAACAGACAGGACGCGATTTGGCAACGCGCCGCAGTTTTTCCGAAGTTTTTTATTTTCTAAAAGCAAATAAATATTAGCCTATCACAGGGGTTCCAGCACTAGTGCACAAATTTGCATTACAAAAACAAATGGTTATTTTTAGCAGTTTTCTTGTGTCATGCAAATTAGTGCACTAGTGCTGGATCCACCCATGGCCTATCATAATATTCTTGTAGATTACGTAACGATAATACGTTATGACTGCTCTGGCGTCTGTAGATTCCAAATTTTGCTTCCAGAATTTCATTTATATGCTTCTGAAACCTAAAAATTCGTGTGGGTTTTTAATGCTGTCTAACGGAGTTGAATTCATGCCATAAGGGCATTCATGCAATGAAACCTAACCATTCCAATGCACCTTACGTCCAGGTTAATCCAAATTTACTATGCACTGCTACCCCTCTCGGATTTTAAAAATACCCTATTCTGGCCTACTTGCATCATAAATTTCCTATTGCCTATTTTGCCTCTTCGACGGAATTATTATTAATCGAAAGGTAATGTTGCGTCATATCATGAAATCAACCAAAAGCCCCATAGTTAAAAAAATTCCGAGTATACCAGCACATGGTCTCCAAGGTAGCCACTTGAAGGCCACTGTGAAGTCTTGATGAATGTTCACCATTTTGATAACATGGATGTCTTGCTCATACAGTTAAAAAACCGACTGTTTTCGGTCGTTTTATTTATCAAGGTGTTTAAATGCAATGGTTCGAGGAGTGTATAGCTGCATGATAGCTCGAGAGAGTATTTTTAATCCTTTGTGATGATAAGAGTGTGAATACGGGCATAGGAACATTGAGCGATTGAGTTAATTTAAATCAGCTAGCTAACCTTCAAGTCGCACGTTTTAGTTTTTACATAAAATTCATAAACAACTTCACAAAACTTTCAACGGTCTCTTTATAGCAAAATGGGCAACAACAACTCCTAATAAGGTAAAAACACTCGTTTACAAACTTTTTACGAACCATTACGAATTTCCATTATTTCATGCGAAACTTGTGATTTTCATTAAATTCGTACCACGCTAGCGACATCGTGTTTTTTAATATATTATTTTCAAATTTCCAACAACATGGTCGCTACACCTTGCCTGAAAATCAATGTAATGATGCGCGCAAAACAAGAATAAATGAAGAGCGTGTCCCTAAGTGATAGCGCGATATGATTAAAAGCGTTTCAAACCAATTGCTTTACAAGCTGAATTGAGATGATGATTGAATAATTTTAGTTATGCATATTCAGAATAGTCTTAGGTATTACTTCAACTCTACTCTGAGACAAAATGCGTCATATTTCTGCCCAAGCAGCACGGGGCTTTCAAGTGATGATAAAACGCCCTGCAACATGAGAAGCCAAGTGCATTTCCTTAATGCGCACTAAGGTGCAATACGCTGCAATGTCAGTTTGTGAACGATGATATATTGAGCGACAATGATATACGTGTAATTGATACTTTCGATCCGTAACTGATTGATAATGCGTTAAAATAGCGAGTTTAGGGGAGCTATTAAACTCCTCCCTTCTATATTCGTCTTTTCAAAGATTTTCAAGACTCAAGTTGAACATATATATTGGCAGGAGAACGTCAAGCTTCCGTGGTCAAAACCGTCAAGAGCGAAAAAACGCCTGGAATGCCCTTTCTTATTTGCTCCAGTGTTTCAATCAAATATGTTAAAATTATGTAGGACTTATTGGAAAGATCATTAGATCAACTATATAATTATTGGCCCAAATTTGTCCGCTTTCTTTTGAGATTTTTGGTTATATGTCAAAGCTTGTTGCCACAATCTGTTTATACACAATATATAAGTAATTCTTTTTCTGCGGATTGCATTTGTGACTATTACTATCGCAGATACATTTTTTTCTATTCGTAACGTAAGTGTAGTGGTCGTCGATGAATGGTAATTATCATATTACGCGATATCCTATTAGCACGTGGGCTTTCATCTTTCAAAAAGGAAATAAACAATTTCGCCTAATAATAAACATTTTTAATAACCCGCATATAAAGGATCTCTCGTTTGATATCGCGCGTAAACCTCTCAACCTCTTTGTGAAGGGCTGTATATCGATCGAATAAATGCGTGCCAAATCCAATTCCAGGTCAGCTGTTATAGATATATTACGCGCGTTAATCAATGTATTCCATGTGTAGGCGCTGACGTCCCCGACGTGACCTTAAAGGCGAATATTTAGGCTCTGAAATTTAATATTGAGTAAATGATATTTAGCACAATAAAACTCCATCGCCCGTTACCTTGAGTGTTCACAACTGACATTCTTACTCAGCCGATTCATTCGAAATATCGCGAGGGAACACACGGTACCGCAAATATTCGAAATCATGAAAGCGAATGTACTTTGGATACTATTAGTTTTCTTTTTGTCTCGTCACGCGATTTACATAGGCGGTGATATCCACAGTATGCTTCGTCAACTAGATATTGAGGAAAATGACCCAGATATCACGCAATCCGAGAAGAAAAAGTTGGACGAATATCGTAGGACGGTGATCAAACAAGAGATCTTGAAAATGCTTGGTCTCGAGAGCCCTCCGAATGCTTCAAACATTCCGAAAATACCAAAAGAAATGATAAAAAGTGTCCTGCATCAAACGAGACACCACAGGAAAGGTGGCCGTAAAAATCTAGACGTCGCTGGCAAACAAATGATTGTTATAGCGGAGCCAGGTATGATAATTATCCCTCTTCATCTAATCTCGTATTTACAAACAACTGCTGACGACAATTACACTTAGCCTGAGCTGGATTAATAGGACAATGTTTTCGTGTTCCTTGATGATCCATTTTTGACATAGGTCCGTTTTATCATACAATAACGTTTTTGATGGTTTGAAGAATCCAATTTAGAAAAATCCGAACGATAAACGTTAGAATTAGATGCAACTCGCAACGTTTCAAGCTCAGCCTTGAATAATCTAATATTCCTACCTATCCATAAAAAGAGTACCATGAAACTGGGGGAAGTGCGCACAAGTTATAAATTTGAATCTATTTTCTTCATTTGTTATAACATTTGGGGAATGTATATTGCCAAGCAATATCATTTAGAAACCATGTTATGGTTGTATTGCAAACTAAGGGTAATTATACCTTTCGGCCAATCGTAGCAATCAGTGGTCATTACCAGACCTGCATAATCACCATGACGCGTTTTGAGGTGCAATAACTCACACATGTGAATGACCAGGTTGCAGCAGGTCGGCACTTGAGGATAAGAAATAGGTTTAGACATGGTGTTTTGAATGATTTGCCAAATACTGCTGGCGTTTAACAATATGATGATGCCTCTCATGTAAGTCGACGCCTGTTCTCTCGATCCTATTTGCGAATTGGCACTGGAAAAGCAGAATTCACTAAATCGATAAAAAATGGCACCGACTGAGGGCTAATTTCATGCATGCAGTTCGTCAATGCAGACAATTTCCTGCAGTGCGTTGTGTTACTTGTGTATAATTAAATAAACTCTCCGTATAAAAGACTTTATAATATTGCGTCAAAGTTAGTTTCGAAATTCATTGAAGGCTTCAACGATTTTGTCATCCTGTTCTTATACCTAATATACTCATGTCTAACAAGTGAAATCTAGCACCCTCAAATGAATGTTTCATGCGATTCTCTCTTTGGAAGAAGATAAGAAAGAATATTATACTCAAATGTTTCTAAGGAATGGAAGCGATCCAACTCTACAGGCGACCGCTATGCTTTATATAATAATTATCTAATTGTCTGGAACGCGATCGACGTTTCCTATTCAATTTTTGGCATATCAAAGGTTTCTGTCAGCAAGCATTTTTATCCATCACTGATCAAATATATATTGACATAGCTGCGGACAGAACATTTCATTCGCATTTGATTGGGTGGAAGGCATGTTTATGGTCCCTTTATGCTTTTGATTGCATTATATTGCCCACGCACTTAAAATCTGGGAGCTAATAGTTACCCATTTTAGGCAACCTAAAGACTGGATATGCAGAATGTGCCAAATCCTTGCTCATCAAGTTTATATACAGCATGTGACTTAAGCCACTTGACATACTCAGAACTATATGTTCCTTAAATTCCTTATGATATTGGAATTGTGGCATTGCTTTATATGGCAAAACGCGTTTTATCACTTGCCAATTGTGTTTTCTTCAGGATATGTGGTATATATGGCACATTTAAACTACACGATTAACACGCAATAGCCTATATAAATATTAAAATTTACTCCTTCACAAACATTTGTGTAATCTAAGATAAATACTAATGTGCGAGTTAAGTTAAATCCAAACCAAATGACATGGAATTTAAAGAACACAGAACTTAAATGAACCACTTTCTTTATGCTTGTTCCACAAAGAACGCCAAAACCGATTGCAAGTTCCGTCTGCGTGCAAGCAGTCCGGTAAAAAGTATGGATCTGTTTTATTTTCTATCTGGTGTCGAGAACAAACTATCGCATGTCATTTTTAGGGAATTATTTTATATCATTATGTACTCACTGAACTTTCCAAATCTATTCTATAAAGGTTTTCGACGAATGCTGGCCATATTTTTAGGAGAATGCCATGAGGCAAAATGGGGCAGTGAATGCTCACATAGGGACTCCAACTCGATAATTCCTTATATTGCATCTAATACAATAAAAACGTGCGACAACTAAAAGCTTCAATGAGGAGTCTGCATGAAATCGGGCCTTTGAGCAACATATCATATATCAGTACACAACATGCATGCAAAAACATTCAATAACTGACTATCTTTCAGTTAACAGTACTTTTGAGATTGCCTTTTTACCATTACCATATTACCAGAAATGACGAAATTACCGTCACTTGTGTAATGATGAATTTGCATTTCATCCATATAATGACCTTCCTGTTTTTATATAAAATACATTGAGCATTGAAATAAAGAAAACGTAAATTGTAGCAACCACCAACTTCGAGCACTGTTTGCCGATCCTTAGATCCCCATAGATCAACGTTTTTGTAACGAATTTAGTATCTTTAAAGATTTGCTGTTTGAAATCAGAAAATGTAATACAACGTCTTCTGTTCAACGGTAGCTAGATAAAAACACTTTGAGTAAGGGAAGATGACGGTTAATGCAGCCTCATAGCATCAACTGTGGAATTTCCGAGTATATCACCAAGGAGTGCAATCTATTCAGAGAAACAGTATATGCACTGTGACTCTAGTTATCAATAAAATCGCAAACATTCATTAAAAACAAAATATTTGCGAAGAAAATAAGAAATTTTTGTAATGTGATTTTATACTGAATAGACTACCAAGGCAAGCGGTGTACACCCTAGGGGAGATACGCCTTGCCGACGATAGTAAAAACTTTCACATGTTGGGCTTGGTGCCTTATCTAAAAGATCGACAGGTAATGGAGTGCACGCAATATGAGAAAGGTGGTCAATGGCCAACAGCAATTTGCTCGAATTTGAAAATCAACAAGAAGGAATGCCCAAACCACAAGCTGCCAGTTTCAGCATGGAATATATTGATAAAATCGTTTAGTTTGACAAAAATAAACCGGCTATAGGAGAAGAATTACTCCTAGCCAAAAAGACCCAAATTTATTCTAAATCGGCGTAAAGTTTAATGTGTCATTTTTGATGCTCATGCATTGGTCAGAAAACTGAGTTGCGGAAGGAGTATGCAAAATTCATGGCTGGCAATATATGCCTTTTTCTTATTTATAAATTATAATGCTGCATGGGTTTCAAACGAGTTGGACTTCATTGCAACAAATCATTGTTATAATGACAAAAGCGATGTTGCCGGCGGATGTTATATATATTCATGTGCATTCTGTCAGAGTTCTTTAATGACCTTAAGCATGTAGGACGGCAACATGCATGACGACGACGTGGTTGGAATACTCCTTTAAATTAATGTTATGGTAAAACGTCGTTTTATATTATCAATTGTACCAATTTAATGAGATGTGAGAATGAGAGAAGACGTTGAAAACATTGTTTTTACGTTTAGGAACAATTCTATAGAGCCTAATTCGAGGTAGTGCTCACTAGCTGGGTCGACCTGAAATGTAGACGTTCCACATAGGACGTAATAAACGACGTTTTGCCGTTGTAAACAGAACGTAGATCACGTCTAAAACTTCCATAGGTATTTAATAATTCATTTCTTTTCAATGAAGAATTGTATTGATAGCTGCCGTCGTCGTGTTCCCGTCCTACATGCTTAAGGTCCCTATTGATAAAATTTCAAAACTCGAAGCGGCGGCGAAGTGAAACAATGCAATGTATTCCATGCATTGTTTTACCGAAGTTTGGTTATCTCAATGTTGTCATTTTGAGAGCAGGTCAACTGAATTTGTGATGATTGTCTCAGTTAATCCTGCTTGTTTTGTTTCAAGTACTCAAAACTTCGATTTCCTGGTGTCGTTCAAGTAATTTCGTGCGCTGAGATGAGAGGATTTAGTGTGCAAGTTACGAGAATAAGAAAAAGACTGAAAATGCGATGATTCAACCGCCCTAGCTAACCGCCAAAGCGAGTCTGAAAAATCAGTTTTGACTTTGGGAAACCTTAATAAGAGAAAATATAAAAACTGACTAAGGCTGTTTTGGTCCACCGTATATTTACACCCAATGTTTATAGTCTGATCTGACGATCAAATCTCGTGATGCTGCACCTATTCTCGTGCACAACGACGTTATAGACCTATTAAATTTGCTAACAACAATTGTCTTAACAAGTAAAATAAGCAGAGGATGCGGAAGATTCCTAAGTGAGAGGGGGGCAAATATTTATATATTCGCGTTGTGTATAATTAGTTTATTTTTAAATGGATTGTATTTATTTTACGGTCTTTTAATATGTATATATGAATATTATATCAAATATTAGCCCCCCCCCTCCCTTACGGAACTTTCGGGGTCCCTGAATTATCTATCTGATCGCCTAATATAACAATTCGGCCTTTTTTCATATTTTACCTGAATTTAACTTAATCCTATATATTCATATATTCATGCATATCAACATTAGGTCACCCAATATGAAGTGGTACTTAAAGTAAAATTAGATTAATGCTAATAAATCAGTCAGTGTCAATTTTCCCGTAGCTTATATTGTTACATTTATAAGGCCATCAGGCATGCCCAGCATGCAAATGAAAAGTCATACAAGAGAGCACAAGAAACAAAAAAAAAACATGCTAAGAAATCATCTTAGGTTGGAGTTAAGTACGTCGGCTCGAGTCCAAAAGCATGGATGTGCGTTGACGCGGAATTGCATGGAGAAGTATGTTGTTTATAGTCTTTATAGATGTTTTGAATATTTTGCTTATCCGGTTAAAGAAGGTTGTTAAAAGACGAATTAGCATTTTCAACACTGTCAAAATTGCATCGAAATACTGATCGCCATTACCCTTTCCGGAATTATTTCAACGAGACGAGTCGAGCGCAATGGCGAAAAATAAACGATCAAAAACAAAGTACAAAGCGAACAATGCAGCTATATGAATTTCAATACAGCTATATGAATTGGTGCAATACTTGCATACTTTCCTGAAACTCTAATCTATCAATAAATCCTGCTTAAAAAAATCATAAAAATGTTCAATTTAGTGTGATTCTACTACTCTGCATTTCTGCAGCATTGAATTGGGCTAAAATACATGTTCAAATATTCCCTAGAATTCTCGCTGAACTTGAAAGATTCAGAACCGCAATCATTTCGCTTCAATGCAAACGTGAAACATAATTCAGTTTCATCTGTAATATTGGTCCTTCGACGTAACCCACAGATCCTAACGAAGAGGATATTGAAGAAACATCGTTTGTTTATCGCACGAATACTCGGTTATCCTAACAAACTATCCCGCCTAATCGGACATCCAAAAATTAAGGAAACTAACAAAAACTGGATCAATTTGGACATCACTTCAATCTTGAAATCAAAAGGTATCCATGGCATGATAAGGAATATCTCCATCGAAATTATATGCGAAGAATGTGGTGGCGAAAACGGTTTTGTGAATTCCAAGAAACGTCGTCCGTTTCTAATTTTTAACGTTGGCAAAGTCACGAAAACCCGAAAGAGGCGCTCTGTAGCAAATTGCAGCCAAACTGATTGCTGCATAGTTGATTATAACATCAGCACTAAATTGCTTGGTTTTGACTTTGTGGTAGCACCTAATGTATTTCAATTGAACTTCTGCAAAGGAAATTGTATTACTCCACCTTTGATTTTGGCGTTCCATGATCGGATTGGGTTGGTGAAAAATCCAACAAAGAAGATGGTTAAAAAGTCAAACTGCTGCATGATCTCAAAATTTAAAACGTTATCAATACTCATCGATGGTGGCAACAATTCAATTATAAAAAAGGATATACCGAATGTGACGGCGACGCACTGTACGTGCTCATAACGTTTGCTGCAGTGCACGGTTTTTCTCAGTATTATATAGCAACATTATCTACGTGTATTTGACATCGTAAAGTCTATGACGATTGCTAACAATTGGTAAGAATGGTGGATAATTTATTTTTAGCCCGTAAAACTGACAAACAGTTTTAAAACTACATGTGTATAATATGAGAAGTAAACTTTTGTATCAATTAATATTACTGAACCATTTTGTTAACTGATGTCAATACATTGGGCACTGTTTAGTGAACGCACTGCATGTTTAGTTTAGAGAAAGATTAAGACTGTTTCAGATTTAAAAAATGACTTTTAGGTCAGTCAAATCATATCCCTGTTGCACTGCTCCACTTCCTTCAAACTTCGGACTAGCATGAATTTATTTTTGGAGTTTTAATATAATCATCATGTAAATCACTGTTAATCGGTTTTAAACTAATTAAAAAATCCAATATTCATATAGGATATTTACTTTCTTTTAAATTATTTTGATATTATCATTAGTCCAAAATATTTCACCGACAGTCGGTGATGTGTGTAGGTCAGTGCATGCATGGCCATGCAGTTATTTAAAATGATAGGGTATATACTTCATTCGTCAGCGATTAATCGGAACAGCCAATGATTGTGATATACACAGGGCTTGTTCACACTTGTTCACGAGATAAATATTTTGGGAAACACAGATCAATTTTGCGCGCCTTTACAATAAAATTACACAATTTGCGCAGTGAGCTGGTTTTCTTTACATTTGCCTGATTCTGCTGGAGAATTGACACTATAATTTATTAACATTGTGTGAATCTTTCCGCGTTTCTTCGTAGTTTTGGGACTCATTAATTTCTATACACTTTGGTGGTTCCTCAACTTTGATATAATCGACGATTTCGTTTAGTTACACTTGATGTAAGATTTTAGATTAAGCTTCAATAATACCTTTTCTTCTGAATCCGTCTTTACCTCGAACTCTCACCAGCTTACCAGCCTTAAAGTGTAATTGTAAACTCTTTGCTGTACGATTATGGTACTTTGCCTGATCTCTGTATATACGATATACATAGGGCTGTATGATGTTGTAAACGTTTCTTAACAACTGTCGTTTCAATTATATTGGTTGAGGTTGTAAATGTTTCTCTGTGGCAAGTAACTTTGTTTTAATTCATCGCGCCATAAGTCTCCGTGCAGGATTTACAAGAACTTAATCTTTTAGCATGCTATAGAAGACCATTCCCACAACACAAGGTCGTGTAACAACCCTCATCTTCCAAAAGTCAACACTAACTGGGGTAAATATAAACCTACGTACCAAGCTTCGAAAGAGTTCAACGATTTGAACGATTCCATCAGAAACTTTAGCTCTCTGAGTCATTTTAAGTCGTCCCTGAAGTGACATTGACTTACACACTACATATATAAATATTGTTAATTGCATGTCTCAATATGTTTTTGTTTGTTTATGTCCATGTCCACGTCGTTGCCCTTGTCCTTTTCAATGTATGTGTATGTCTATGATTATTAGAAAACGTAGAACATTTATTTTTATATATTGCTATGTGGTATTTTAAAATTGCTATAAATTTTATATATGATAGAAGTTACGTTTAAATTATTATATTAGTAATATGTTTGTATCATGCAGGACCCCACTAAAAAACACTATAGGTGATGTGGGTATCCTGGTTCAATATAATAATAATAAAGACTGCAGTCTTCTCCACCTTTCTTTTGCTTTCTCTATAATGGCTTTGGCAAAGGTACTGCACTTTCAATACCACCATTGCTTTTAGGATAGTAGGGTGAAGACGTATTGTAATCATCAACGTTGAGATCAGCAGGGGGTCATCAACAGTTGGGTTGATATTAAACGTGTATATCAAGTATTAAGCGTGAACTATCTTACGGGTTTGTTTACGTTTTAACATAAGGAATTGTGATCAATTGTTTGCCTTAATTATAACAGAAAAGTTTACACCTTATAACTGAATAATAAGGTATGCTATATAGTGAGTGAGAGACTTCATTTATCCATGATAACTCTATTCACCCGAAGACTGATCTCAAAAGTGGACGTAGCGGCCTGGGGTGCCTAAACTGAGTAGAAGTAGAAAGTACAGAAGAAAAAACATACTTGAGTAAAAATTACAAAGTTTTTGTTAAAAATACCTGAAGTCGAAGTAAAAAGTACTGTTGGCTACAGGGTGTATGAAAAAACCTAACCACTGGATATTCATGAATATTCGCTTCTATTCAATGACAAAAGATCTTATACCTCTGAAAGTTATTAACGTTGCGTTTTATAACGTTACCAGTTGCCATATTTGAATAAAAACTTATTCGCTTATAGTCGTGTTCGCATACGCCTACGACTACGTATCAACTTTTGAGGATCGATGCAGTTACTGGTTTGTGTGATTGCGACGGTACTCTATAATAATCTCTTGTCAAAACGGGGGGAATTCACTGGGAAAAGTTTTTAAAAACTGATAAAGTAACGAAATACTTTGCAACTGTGATAGAAAATAGCGAAGTAAAATGTTACATTAAACAATGACTTCGTTCCAAGTAAAAGTATTATCTCAAAAATATACTTCGTTACACCCCTATTACTCGAAAATAATGCTCAAATACAGTAACGAAATAAATTTACTTCGTTACTTGCCACCCCTGGTGGCAGCAATAAGAGAGATACAAAAAATACAAATATTAGAAATATACGTCGTCAGGCTGGCTACGCTACCGGTTATAAAAACTTTATTCTGTAATCTTTACAAGCCTTCGGAAAGGCCAATAGACTATGAAAATATCGGCCAAGCAACTGGAGTCGATATTTTCTCGTTTCTCAAGAAAAAAATTGGGAGAACTGTTTTCATGACCACTTTGAATATGTGTATTTTGAACATTGGTAGGCGTGAATATTTTCAAACATTTGATAGTAAAACTTGTAGCCCATGGGCGTCGTGTTTTAGCAGGCCAGCACAAGGTCATATCTATTTTATCAGTAAAAAAATTCCCTACTGGCTGATTGCAACGTGCTGTACTGAGTCAGCAAACCAACATCATTATTCGTCACGAATTTCCTTGCACCCATTTTAACAACCGAGACCTGGCATTGCGCATCTTAAGGTGGTCTTAGACAGAACATTTTTTCTTTAATTTTCAAAAATATAAGGATCTTTTTCCATGCAGACCACCCAAAAATGATAACTTACGAAATATTTATGAAAAAACTCGGGCAGCTGTATTGGTAATTGTAAGATTAAAATCAATTAACAAACTAACGAATATATTGTTTTCTTCATATTTTATAACGTTTAACCCCAGTATATATGATTCCCCATTCAACAACATTCTTTCTAGAGCATAATATTATGTGTTGTCTGTCTAATATTCTGTTTATTACTATGCTATTATCATTTATCATAATATTTCCAATATTTCCACTTAATATATTTTATTTATTATACTTAATATTTCCAAGTAATATCATGATCACATGACCATATATTGTTTCCATATGTATATGGAATATATATATATATATATAATGAGCCTTTAGGTATTTTTTTATATATCGTTTATTATCTTGCTTTTGGTATTTTCTCCATTTGTAAGCGTTGATTTTAAACATGCAATGTCATATTTCAGTTTCTTTTGTCTTCATTTGTCCATTTTGATTTTCGGTGACCTCTTCATCTCTGTTTCTGTTTATGTTCTCTTCCGGTTTTAAGGTAATCTCTTTATCTTTGCTTGTGAAAATGTTTTCATCTCGTTTTGGAGTCATTTCCTCATCCCTCTCAGTAGGCACTTGTACACCTTTTTTTACTGCTATTACGGCTTCTTCAGACGGCTTCACGATTTCTTCCTTAGTGGGGTTTTTTTCATCTCCCTTCGTAGTTGTTTTTTCTTCTTGCGCATGCTTTTCTGTTATTTCTAGATCTTTGCTTGTTTTTATTTCTTCTACTTCGTGATTAGTTGTTATTTCTCCCGTTTTTCTTTGGTTTGATTCCTCTAATTGTGCTGCGATGATGTCGTCATCTTTCTTCCCCGCTTTTTTCTCATCTTGCATTGTGGTTATACTTTTATCTTTTTCAGCGATGATTTCTCCCTTTTGCGTTGTGGCTGTTTCTATATCCTGCTTTGTAGTTGTTTTTTCATCATGCTTTATGGCTAATTCTTGATCTTGCTTTTTCGTCAAGTTATCTTCTTTCTCTATGCATGTGATTTCCGTATCTTGCTTTTTGGTATTTTCTCCATCTTGCTTTGAAATTATTTCTTCATCACCCTTTTTTTCAGTATTTTTTTCATCGCTCTTCGAGGGTGTTTCTTCTTTTTCTGTGGTCATTTCATCATTTTGCTCTGAAGTTATGTTGAGCACTACATATTTCCCATCGACCTCTTTGTCATCTTCTACCTCATCATCCTTGTTGGTATACATATCAACAAGTTCCTCCATACCTTTGTTTTCAAAAGCCTCTTTAGTATTGGATCTTTTCAAAGTTCGATTTTGATAAGCACAGCAGGCGACAGTGATGAGAAGTGCCACTACAAGGATCGCCAATGCTAGGATAACCGCAATATAAGTTATATTTTGCTCTTGACCTGATTTTTCACCTGAAAATAGAAGTCATGAAATGTATTGGATGTTTTGGGTTCATCGTTGACAACGTTCAACTTCTTCATACGTGCTGTTATCATGCGAATAAAGGTATACGCACATTGGACACAATTCGCCAACACGACGCGAATTTTCAGCTTTCATGCCGAAGCAAATAATAAATTCTATTCTGGAAGGGAGTCTCAAAATCTATAGACACTAGACAAATCAAGATTACGACCGTTCAGCAATTACTAAGAATATCATAACGTGATCAAACTTAGTTGCTCTTGAAAACTGAAAAATTCATAAAAATCGCGTCACGTTGTCGAATCATGCACTCCGTGCGTGTCTCTCTTTTTAAGCTAAAATGCAAGTAAACAAACCTCTTTTGAAAGTGATGGCATTTTCACTTGTCTGTGTTGATAGTTGAGAACCTGAGATAGAACAAAAGAGTTTTGGATAGAATTATAGTGCAAAATATAGAAACTTTTTCAAGTTCTCTGACCGGGTATCGAAATCGTATGTCAGATATACAGGGGCGATTTTGCACTCAATGCATGTCTGAGGCAACCTCGTACTGCGGCCGAAGCATTAAACAAACTTCAAAGCAACTGATAAATTCAGTATTCTAAGTTTGCTCAGGAAATTTACTTTGTATTGATCTTAACGCATAAAAACGTTTAAGTAAAACATCCATATTTGTGGTACCATTTGTGTTCATTTCTGCAATTGCGATTTCCGTTTTCAGGATAGCAGCTGATGATTGTGTTACAGCCAGAGTAGGTAAATCTTTTAAGCCGAAGGCAATAGTTGAAGTTCTATCGGATACATTAGTATTATCACTACGTTTTCCTTAATAATAGAAACATTCGTGTTAGGATTCACATCACTAAGATAGACTCGACTCTCGATAACCTGGGCGGCATCATAATGCCACATATATTGATACATTCGTGCATGTTCAAAGCAAGCAAACAAACCTAATGAAAATGGACGCGCTTTTGCACAAAGGCGGGACCATCATTATGTGGGCCCAGACTCCAGACATCTTTCGGAAAACGATGCAAATTAACTTTTTTGGGGCTTGCATGTTTATATGTTCATCTAGTATTTACACTATAGTCGCACTAAGCCACGAGACGTTTTTAAAATTCGTTCGGACGTCTAAGCCGTCCTCTAATATAAATACGGCCATTGTCTGTATTTGAACAAACAAAGCGACTGATAAAATGGCCGGCCAATTCAGTATCTTATTTAATTTTGCGCAGGAAATTTATCTTGTATATCTTAACGCATAACTAGTATATGTTTATCAAGAAGGACGTTTTTGTGGCACCTTGTGTGGCTCCTCTCGGGATTGCAATCTGCGTAGTTGAAGATTGTGTCTTAGACAGAGTTGGTGAAGTTTTTGAGGCGAAGGCAGTAGTTGAAGCTCTATCAGACATTTTACTCAATCGTTCTAAAAGATAGAAATATTCATGTTAGGATGAACATCACTGAGATTAACTTGTCTGGCATGCAATAACCCCGGTGGCATCGCCATTTGCCAGTTGCTTTACTATGTTGGCATTCCAATATAAGAAGAGATGATCCAGGCTATTAGCTAAAGCTTAACGATAATTATATAAAAACATTATCTACTCCCCTTTGGTCAAAAACCATCGATGCGACCAAAGGAATTAAAAGAGAGAGATATTTAAAAAATTTGAAAAGAATCATATAGTGCAAAATATAAATGTAAAATGTATACATTTCATATATCACATATACAGGAAGGTCTGTGTCTGCCAAAACGTAGCTATGATAAAATATTCATATAACCCATAACTTTGGACAAAAACTTAAATATAAGGGCTGGGTTTGATGATTTTCTAGGTGCTTACAGGCAATGCTGTAATATCCAACAATACACAATATAGGTATTATAATCCCAGTCTGTAACTTATAGAGCGAAATTAAATTAAACCAGGTGACCTGTTGCTGTTCCAGCCGTAGGAGTTTGTGATGAGGTGACCAACGTAGTACAAATTGCTTGAACCGTTGTAATTCTTTGTTTGTTGGAAGAAGTCAATGAACCACTGGCATTCGTGTTAGCAGAGCTTTGATTCACATTACCTAAATTTAATAACATGCATACGATAACATTTCAGGAATTCTGCAAAAACGAAAGACTTTGTTTAGATAATTCCTTACACACGAAATAAATATGATAAAATATATATTTCGAATTCGATTTTCATACTGTGTCGTTTGGTCGGTGGTTGAACCTTGTGCAGTGGAGAAATGAATACAGCAGAAGTACTTCCATTGCTTGTACTTATATTCACACCTACATGAATCAGACTCGCATTATCTAAATGTAATAATATATAATAACATGTGAAAGCTAGGCTTCGTTTCGATCATTCCTTTTCAATATTACCACCCAACTGCAATGATTATCAACAATATACACAAAATATACACAAATATGATGAAATATTTAATCCCCGAGCCGGTGCGAAGCACCGAGCGAGGGTACTAATTCCACCCGGGAATGCAAATGCGAAATCAAAGTTGTCCGCTATTATGTCATGCACCGTGATGCACGTTGGGCATTTTTGTAAGTTATGCGCATGCGTGAGTTTAAGACGAGTTAAAACGCCTAGCAAACGTTTGCAAGTAATTTAACACGGGGAAATTTTTGCATTCCACAAGCTGGAGAATGGCGAGGAACTTTATTTTAAGTATAGGACTTATAGATTGACTCAACTCTCGATAACCTAAGTGGCATCGTAATGCCACATATGTTGATACATTCGTGTTCAATGCAAGCAAACAAACCTAATGAAAATGGACGCGTTTTTGCACAAAGGCGGGGCCATCCACGCCATTATGTGGGTCCAGACTTCAGACATATTTCGGGAAGTAAAGCAAATTAACTTTTTTGGGGCTTGCATGTTTATATGTTCATCTAGAATTTACACTATAGTCGCACTAAGCCACAAGACGTTTAATCCGTTCGGACGTCTACGCCGTCCTCTAATATAAATACGGCCATTGTCTGTATTTGAACAAACAAAGCGACTGATAAAACGGCCGGCTAATTCAGTATCTTATTTAATTTTGCGCAGGAAATTTATCTTGTATCTTAACGCATAACTAGTATATGTTTATCAATTAAGGAGGACGTTTTTGTGGCACCTCGTGTGGCTCCTCTCGGGATTGCAATCTGCGTAGTTGAAGATTGTGTTTTAGGCAGAGTAGGTGAAGTTTTTGAGGCGAAGGCAGTAGTTGAAGCTCTATCAGACATTTTACTCAATCGTTCTAAAATTAAAGATAGAAATATTCATGTTAGGATGAACATCACTGAGATTAACTAGTCTGGCATGCAATAACCCCGGTGGCATCGCCATTTGCCAGTTGCTTTACTATGTTGGCATTCCAATATAAGAAGAGATGATCCAGGCTATTAGCTAAAGCTTAACGATAATTATATAAAAACATTATCTACTCCCCTTTGGTCAAAAACCATCGATGCGACCAAAGGAATTAAAAGAGAGAGATATTTAAAAAATTTGAAAAGAATCATATAGTGCAAAATATAAATGTAAAATGTATACATTTCATATATCACATATACAGGAAGGTCTGTGTCTGCCAAAACATAGCTATGATAAAATATTCATATAACCCATAACTTTGGACAAAAACTTAAATATAAGGGCTGGGTTTGATGATTTTCTAGGTGCTTACATGCAATGCTGTAATATCCAACAATACACAATGTAGGTATTATAATTCCAGCCTGTAACTTATAGAGCGAAATTAAATTAAACCAGGTGACCTGTTGCTGTTCCAGCCGTAGAAGTTTGTGATGAGGTGATCAACGTAGTACAAATTGCTTGAACCGTTGTAATTCTTTGTTTGTTGGAAGAAGTCAATGAACCACTGGCATTCGTGTTAGCAGAGCCAAAATCCACATTACCTAAATTTAATAACATACGATAACATTTCAGGAATTCTGCAAAAACGAAAGACTTTGTTTAGATAATTCCTTATACACGAAATAAATATGATAAAATATATATTTCGAATTCGATTTTCATACTGTGTTGTTTGGTCGGTGGTTGAACCTTGTGCAGTGGAGAAATGAATACAGCAGAAGTACTTCCATTGCTTGTACTTATATTCACACCTGCATGAATTAGATTCGCATTATCTAAATGTAATAATATATAATAACATGTGAAAGCTAGGCTTCGTTTCGATCATTCCTTGTCAATATTACCCAACTGCAATGATTATCAACAATATACACAAAATATACACAAATATGATAAAATATTTAATCCCCGAGCCGGTGCGAAGCACCGAGCGAGGGTACTAATTCCGCCCGGGAATGCAAATGCGAAATCAAAGTTGTCCGCTATTATGTCATGCACGTTGGGCATTTTTGTAAGTTATGCGCATGCGTAAATTTAAGACGAGTTAAAACGCCTAGCAAACGTTTGCGACCGTGCGATTGGCTAAATTAAAATTTTGGTTCGCGTCAGCATACTGATATTTAGGTGGTCTTGAAAATATACGAAAAATTGACTCGTAAGATTGCCTTATATGGTAAAAAATCTACGATTTTGAGGCATTTTTGTAAGTTTATATGTGGATTTATCAACAAATGTATGACATCTCTTTGAATTTATTCGTCTATTTCGTTAAAATTATCTTGATTGGGAAAGCATTTATTTTCAAAGGTGTATCTGTTTAAAAATGAATTTCGCTAAAAATTGTAGTAGCCTACAATGTTTAAAACTATTCGTAGCACATGCAATTATGACAGAAAAGAGTATTATAGAATTTAGTGATGCATGGAAATAATTGTTTAACTGCTTCAGGCGAGAGGATTTTGCATGCATGTATTTCGAGTTAGAGCCCCTAATTTTGGGCGAAAACTATTTTACCTCGTGGCATGCCAAAAACCTAGCTAGTGTGCGCTCGCGGGGTAGCAGAATTGATTACAGCGAAAAAGAGGTGGATTTGGATCCTGATTACGCACCTTTATCTGCGTTATAAGAAAATATTGGATCCAATAAAATCATTTTAATCAATATCAACACCACATTTTAAACCGCTCCTCGACGTGAAGTTCTGGGAACGAATTTCAATGTAAACTGACAACAGACTACGGACAAGAGTTTAATTGCTTTTGTCCACTGCTTATTAAATATTTGTTATTGCAAATTCTAAACACTAAATATTTGTTATTGCAAATTCATCCAGGATGATTTATTATCCAGGTTTCAAATTCATCCAGGTTTTAAACCTTTTCAATCTCATGCGTCTCTTTACTAAAACAATCTCCCCCACGTTCTTTATACTGCTGCTACCAGGGAGCTTATACAGGGTGTCTCAAAAAAAACGCAACCACATAAATATGCAAGAATATTAATATTGTTCGGGTTTGCACCATAGTTCAACTAAAATGACTTTTAGCATTGTAAATGAAGGATTAAGAGCCATTTTCAATTCCCAGAGGTGCGTATCTATTGCGCTTTAGAGCTGTATTAATGTTCTGCATATTTAAGTGGTTGCGTTTTTTTTGAGACACCCTGTATATATCAAAAATGAAAAAGGTGGAAGCAACTTATTCAGTTGGTTCACCCATATACATCTTTAAAAAATACGGTAAGTTGAAGCTAATATCACATTTTCCAAACTTGTTATTTTTTTTACACTCCTGTTAAACAATTTGTTGCTATGCCGGTTGCCAACTGACCTAGAGCGATGTTAATCAAATGTGCACAGCCGCTGACCGAGCAATGTCGAAAATTGTGTACCAGGTTTCGCATCACACGTCGTTCACAAAATCACAGGCGTTGCAACGCCCTATATATAAGCGCCCTGGGTGCTACGACAGAATCATACAGTCGCTGGTGTAAAGTATACCATTAGGAATATGCAAATTTTGTTCGCCTTTTCATTGTCTTAATTATAAGCACACAGAGCGGTAAATTTTTCGCTTAATTTTCTTTTCAATTCTGACCGGTGAAAGGATTCCGCTACGGTCAAATTCTTACAATTGAAGAAAAAATCGAGCGAAAAAATTCGTTCAATCGAAAAATTTGGCCTAGTGAAAAACCGGCTTTAACCGTTGTCCGTACCCGTTTTTCGTTCTGTTATCTTAAAGTCCCTAATGAAGAATACTAAAACGGTGGTCAATCTAATAACTGTTTTAAGGTGTAAATATCCGAGTAAAATTAGCTGGTACCCTCACCGGCGGAAATTCAAGGAATTTTTGAATGAAATTTGGTGCCGTGATGGTGAATATATAACGTGAATAAAACCAGGTTCACCAGGAATAAAAGCAGCAATAAACCAGTTTCGCTTTTTTGCGTATTTTTGTTCCCTAAATATTGACTTTGCAGCATTAATTTGCAATTAATCTGTTGTCAGGGGTCATTTAGAAATGCCCATTTTATATATAGGACTGTCAATGTTCGCAAGATAGCACGAACCCTCCTTTGGGTGTTTAAAGGATATAGCAGTTTCGCACGATTTTTGAAATTGAGTTCTTCCAAGTGGGAAGTTCAGCATTTTGAGAACACTTTTGGGGAAAAAATTTGGTGTAGTGTATAAAGAAAAGTTTTAATGGAACATTTTGTGAGAACACAATTAACCTGGGAAGTAACTAAAGTCATTCAGCTCTTCGTGGATGTTTACCATTTGCTTTGCAAGAAACTATCTTGTGGGAATTCAACATTTTCTATCCGTAACACAATTTTTAAAACTGTCCATTTTAGGTTTTAGCACTATTCATTTTCGAATTAGAACTGCCCATTTTGGAAAGTGGGAGGCCCTAGGATGCATGGCTTGTCTGTTGTTGTTAATGTGTAACATTAATGCGAAATGTGTCAGTTTTATTAGCTATACTATAAATTGTACCAATTTATATGGTGCTATATAATTTTATAGCGTCAGCTTCGAAAGGTATACGCACAGCGAATTCAAATAAACTGCATATATTTATAGCCTATGGCTATATCATATTTGGACCTAATTTAACACGGGGAAATTTTTGCATTCCACAAGTTGGAGAATGGCGAGGAGCTTTATTTTAAGTATAGGACTTATAGAGCTTTTAGAAAATGACATTTTACTCGCAGCGCAAAGTTTGTATTAAGATATGGCTAAACTCCAATAAAGTTCCTCAAATTGATGTGAAGGTTTTTACTTCCTCGTTCTTAAATTTCTACCGTGTTTACGTACCTCATGCATGCATCTGTGGTTAATTCGACTGAAAACTGGCGCCAGTAAATCAGCAATAGAAGTGAAATCATTTTATAAAATTGTGATATTGCTTTAAAACATGAATGTAAGCTAACAAGCTGTTACAAACAGGTGGTACACAGTTTAATTAATTTATATAAAAGGAACCTTATCACATGCAGTAAAGTTTTGCGATCGTTTTTTCATAAACCTGTGCAATCAACAAATCAAGATGAGCTTGAACGCGTACATTTCATTTTATCGAATTCTTACTGAATAGAAATAGTAGCATCTCTTGTGTAATGTAAAGTGCAACTCCGATAGCGATAGACTCTTTAGTCAGTTTTCGTTAAGAAGTATTTGCTATATATGGCCAACAATTATACGAATCGAAACTGAAGTTTCTGGTCCTATATAGCGAAGATGTCATGATTCACAGCCAGTTTCAACGCAAAAGATGTTTTAAAAAATTATTCATGATAATCCTTCATGTAGCAAAGCAACATAGTTCACTGTTATTGAAACTATCTTATTATTCAACTTGTAGCAGGTCTGCTCTGTCAGTCGCTCGCATATATATACTAAATTTTACTTCCTGCATGGCTAATTTCTGTAGCGGTGAGTTCGCGAGATTTTACTCAGTTTGGCCAATTTGATAATTATAAAGCTAATTAGATTGTGATTAAGCTTTCATTTACATTATTATGTAGCTCTTTCACCATACATTATAAATACCTGATATTTCTTTACTGAAAGTAATTAAAACTGCGATACTCCATAGTACTTGAATAATTTGGAAGCGTCCTTTCGTCATCTTGTGAAGAAGTCCCTTTTCAATTTAAACAAGCTATTGAAACACTTTGCTAATATTGTTTTTTACTATTCAAAGGCTTGATGGCTTTTACTTTATACTCGATTCTTTTGGAAATAGGAAATTTTGATGTTGCTAACTTTTCTTTTAGCCTTTAATCCGCTGCTGCTGGATATAAACTAAAATATAGTTCCGTGTGCGCGTGTAAAATCGCCGAGATATTGTACATGTCAGTTCGAAAGTTATACGTCTTTGATATTGCCGGACATGTCAAACCAACTATGAATTTCTCGTGATAAACTCAACAATAGCTACTTTATCTTTACCCATTAGCCAAGTTCTTATAGAGCGAGGTTTGAGGGTATATTTTCGTCATGAACTAACACAGTTTGTCATTTTTCGTTTAGAGCAGTCAACTATCTTAGGAAGATGACATTTTAAATCATCCTTATATTTACTTTTTATTTAATTCAGATAACGATTGTTTCTGAGCATCGATTTCACCGGGCGGGAGATTTCTTATTTCCGTGTTATAGTATCGCGGCCTGTAAGTCTCAATATACCCTAAACAGGGTGTCCCAAAAGTCCCCCCCCCCATACATTGTAATGAAGCTTTTTTTGGAATTTGAATGCATGATCAACGCAGTTGTGTGTAAATAGCATAGTACTGCATGTGAAAACGTATTTTTAAATCCCAGAAGCGTAATTAGTTGCACAGCGACTAAAAATCTAATGTCTGATAACGTGCATACAAATTAGAGGATAAACAAACAACACTTTGTACGCGTTTATACAAAAGTCTAAATCGTTCTTCGTTTAATATACGTTGAAAACTGCATAACACGTTGTCAATAGCATAATACGGTACAAAAACGTTGTGGAACTTAACGTACAAATATCCACAAATATACAAAAAAGTTAGATTCGTTAAACGTTCGACTATATATCAAAGATTTGTTCAAAACCTATATTTTATAGTTGCCAAAGGGTAATTCATGCATTTAATCTATCCTACCTACAATTAAGCTAATTTATTTAACACTATATTGATATTAATTAACACTTTATGACGAACGTTGTAGGATTCAAAAGAGATTGAAGGATGAAGAACACTTTAATTTGGAAAGTTGATAATTGCTGGCAAGCATAATTATATGCTGTTTTAGCGCCATGTCAAAATTCAGTTTCTTTCATCTTCATTTGTTCTTCCATATTTTTGGGTTTCTCCTCATCGCCTTTGATTATAGTAGTTTCTAGCTCCAGTGAGGTCATTTCTTCATCCTGTTTGACTTGCTTTGCGGTCATTTCTTTATCTTGCTTCATAACTATTTCTATATCATTTACCTCTTCAGCTACCTTAGTAGGTATTTTTTCATCTTGCTTCTTTGTTTTCTCAACATCTTTGACTTCATCTTTCTCTTGTTTCTTTGTCGTTGTTTCTTCATCTTGCTTCGTAGTTGTTTTTCCATCTTGTGTTGTCGTCATTTCTATATTCTGGTTTGTATTTGGTTTTTCATCATGCTTTATGGATAATTCTTGATCTTGTTTCGTGGTCATGTTCTCTTCTTGCTTTTTGATCAATTCGTTATCTTCCTTTGTGGCCAGTTCTTCAACTTCCTTCGTCGTCATGTTCTCTTTCTTTATGGAGTTATCTCTGTCTTTATTAGTGATACTTTCTGCATCTTTCTTTGGCATTATTTCTTCATCTTTCGGTGTAGTATTTTTATCATCTTTCTTCGTAGCGATATCCTCTTGTTTTGTGGTTGTTTCGTCTTGCTCTGATATTATGTTGAGCACTACATATTCGCCACCGCCTTCTATGTCATTCTCTTCCTCATCATCTGTGTTGGTGTACGTATCAACAATATCCTCCGCACCTTTGTTGTCAAATGCCTCTACAGTATTGGATTTTTTCAACGCTCGATTCCGAGAAACATAACATGTAACAATGACGAGCAGGAACACTGCAATGATCGCCAACACTATGATAACCGCAATGTAAATTATATCATGTTCGAAACC